GGAGTTGAAGATTATATAATTGTAGTTACTCTCTACATTATTTAGACTCCTTGAGATAGAATGTTTAGCAAAACTTTTGATTCTCAATATTGTTTGTTATATTTATTATTTGTTATTATTGTATATAGTTGTATTTGGTTTAGTTCTGTCTTATTTAGACGAAAAGGGGAGATGTAGGGATAAGCCCCGCCCCTTAGGGGGCGTGTTCGCCTCAAGCTAATGTTTGCCTATAAATTTGGCGAGCGTGCTCCCAGACGCTGCTTCTGCTTTCCTGGTCTCCCAGACGCTGCTGCTGCTTCTGCTTTCCTGGTCTCCCAGAAGCTGCTTCTGCTTTCCTGGTCTCCGCGGGAACGGTGGTTCTGTAAGTCTATTTCTCCATTAAAGCTGTATATATTTTGACAATCTGTCTGCATTAGTTTATGCCGTTACAAGGAACTGTGAAACTCATTTTCTATTCTGATATAGCAATGGCTCAAAGTAATAGACTGACAAGGAACAAAATGAGAAGGCATTTAATAATCTCTTTGGATATCCAAAATGGTTAGCTGATACTAGATTAGTGTCATTAGTCAAAATATTCTATCACTTGACAATGTAAGTTTTTCTATGTGTTAAGTTATATGCTAGATAGGCCCTCGGAGGGCAAAAGTTCTCACCCAAAAATTGGTTTCAATTTTATTAGGGAAATAGCAAATGATTACAAGGTGATTATAGGGAGCAGGAATTTATGATAGCCTTGCTAGTCTAAACAGATTTCATTGAGAAAATCTACTTCTCTGGTCAGAATGTTTCTCAGTGAGAAAGACCACGGTGATACATGATTTTAGTTCCAGCACTGTGGATCTCTGTGGCTTTTGAGGCTGGTCTATACATAGTGAGTTCCAGGACAGCTAGGGTCATGTACAGAGACCTTGTTTCCAAAAACCAAAATAAATAAATAAACAAATAAATAGAATGCTTCCTGGTAAATAAACTTGCAAAATACAGATTATCACAGAGGTAACTGTGATGTTGTATATATGTTTTACTTTTGTTCCATAAAGTGAATTTTTAAACATTACATTGAATTAGCTGGGTGGTGGTGGTGAATGTTTTTAATTCCAATACTTGGGAGGCAGAAGCAGATGGTTCCCTGAGTTGGAGGCCAACCTCGGCTGAGGAATATTAGTTATGCCAAGTGGAAACGAAGAGCCAACCACAGTACTAACCTCATGAACTCACATCATAATATTGTCAGGTGGTTGGTAGTTCTCTTCATAGAACTCCCCCATTTCAATTATATATTGAAGACTAAATTTGAGACCATAAAGTATTTATCTAGGAGGACTTTATTCTAATAATACAGGCTACTCTTGGGTTTCAAATGCTTAAGAATGAGAGAATTCCTTTCTTTTCTTTTCTTTTCTTTTCTTTTTCTTTTTTTTTTTTTTTTTTTTTTTTTTTTTTTTTTTTTTTTT